TGACTGTTTTTGATCATTGTACCAGTTAAGAAGTTACTGTAGCAGTCATGTGAACACAGCGTTTCGTCAGCGATTAGTAGTTTCTTCGAACTTGTAGCAATTTCAGTAACCAAGTAAAAACTATAACAAAAAGAACAGTTGCTAAGTCAAAACAATAAAATATTAGCAGTTGATCGAGCATAATCAAGACGCTTTCCTTTTGTTTGATGAGGCGTACTGCTTTGCTTTTCTAGGGCATGAATTGGATAAATAGCGGCACGTAAACCTTAGTGATCCTTGACCTCCTCTTACCGTTAGCTTAACATGTTTCTTTAGGAAATTCCACACAAATTTGCTACAGTATGACGGTGAAGGTGGCTACAGATTGAGCTCATTGAATGATTCGGCAATTGGTGAGCGGTTATCGCTGGCAGATGAAAAGCGACAGATTGAGCAGAAGCTTTATGAAGTGCCACAGATGAAAGAGCGTCTTGCCGAGTTGTGCCAGGTGAGTTCAAGTATTTTTTCGGATACGCTCCGCTTCATTTTCGTGGAGCTCCCTAGTAATTCCACAGTTATTTGCGCTTGGGGCAAAGCCCTGAAAAATCGAAACCAAGCATGCTTTTTGATGCTCTTGTTGGTTACGTGGTGCCCAGGCCTCAAAGGACAAGGAAAGAAAAATACGTGGCATCTGGAAACGATCCGTTTTTTATGACGTTCGACCAGGGTCAGGTCCTATCGTTGTTACTTTTTCAAAAATTTTTACGACCCCCCTCCCCCAAGGTGGATTTGGTACGACCCCCTTTTCGACACCTCGACCACCATATTCCTCTCTATAGTATTTAATTCTGGTACCACTCAACCCACCAAACTCCGCCCACTTTTTCCTCCAAAAATGCCGTCGAGCGGGGGGGGGGGTGAAAACTCCAGTTTCACCACAAACTCACATGTACTTTCACGCGACTGAAGCGGATACGACCCCCCTCCTATAAACTCAACCAGGTACGACCCCCCCCGTTGTTACTAGTAACAACGTAGGGTTGACCCTGGTTCTGACCCTTTTTCTGAGTAGTTCGTACCCTTCACTGCCCCCTTACAAGGCTTTTCTACAATCAGAGGTTGTCCTCGGAGAACCGACCCGATCGCAAACGTATACCAGAGGCGGCGCAGTGCCTAGTAATCGCTTATGTACATTTCACGTTTCCTGAAGTGTTGTAAATTGATAGCTCAGCGGCAAATGTGCTGGCATGGTGCCGCACGCAAGACGCGCCTGGCTCGGGTGCTGCGCATTTCGCGTGCGGTACCAGGCCACTAT